CCAGGTCCAACCTGGGCGTGGATATGTACTGACCACACTGAACCCATTGAATATGTGGGCCCCAGTCCTTTTTTAAGTGGGCTATCTGGGAATGGGATAGTACTGGGCAACAGTATATGGGGCCCATGTGGTTTCAGTATCATGGGCCCAACATGGGAAGCCCATGTGGGCTGACCACATTGAACCCACATGACATCAGCATGGGCTGACCATATATGGGTTAGACCTGGGTGTGGATATGTAGGCCCCAGTCCTTTTTTAAGTGGGCTATCTGGGAATGGGATAGTACTGGGCAACAATATGTGGGGGCCATGTGGTTCTAGTATCATGGGCCCAACATGGCATGAGCCCATGCTCATGTCATGTGGGTTCAGTGTGGTCAGCCCACATGGTCTCCCCATGTTGGGCCCATGATACTGAAACCACATGGGCCCCACATAGTTTTGCCCAGTTCTATCCCATTCCCAGTTAACCCACTTATAAAAGGACTGGGGCCTACATATCCACACCCAGGTCTAACCCATATATGGTCAGCCCATGCTGATGTCATGTGGGTTCAATGTGGTCAGCCCACATGGTCTCCCCATGTTGGGCCCATGATACTGAAACCACATGGGCCCCACATAGTTTTGCCCAGTTCTATCCCATTCCCAGTTAACCCACTTATAAAAGGACTGGGGCCTACATATCCACACCCAGGTCTAACCCATATATGGTCAGCCCATGCTGATGTCATGTGGGTTCAATGTGGTCTGCCCACATGGGCTTCCCATGTTGGGCCCATGATACTGAAACCACATGGGCCCCATATACTGTTGCCAGTACTATCCCATTCCCAGATAGCCCACTTAAAAAAGGACTGGGGCCTACATATCCACACCCAGGTCTAACCCATATATGGTCAGCCCATGCTGATGTCATGTGGGTTCAGTGTGGTCAGCCCACATGGTCTCCCCATGTTGGGCCCATGATACTAGAACCACATGGGCCCCACATACTGTTGCCCAGTACTATCCCATTCCCAGATAGCCCACTTAAAAAAGGACTGGGGCCCACATATCCACACCCAGGTCTAACCCATATATGGTCAGCCCATGTTGATGTCATGTGGGTTCAATGTGGTCAGCCCACATGGCTTCCCATGTTGGGCCCATGATACTGAAACCACATGGCCCCCATATACTGTTGCCCAGTACTATCCCATTCCCAGATAGCCCACTTAAAAAAGGACTGGGGCCTACATATCCACACCCAGGTCTAACCCATATATGGTCAGCGCATGCTGATGTCATGTGGGTTCAATGTGGTCTGCCCACATGGGCTTCCCATGTTGGGCCCATGATACTGAAACCACATGGGCCCCATATACTGTTGCCCAGTACTATCCCATTCCCAGATAGCCCACTTAAAAAAGGACTGGGGCCCACATATCCACACCCAGGTCTAACCCATATATGGTCAGCCCATGTTGATGTCATGTGGGTTCAATGTGGTCAGCCCACATGGGCTTCCCATGTTGGGCCCATGATACTAGAACCACATGGGCCCCACATACTGTTGCCCAGTACTATCCCATTCCCAGATAGCCCACTTAAAAAAGGACTGGGGCCCACATATCCACACCCAGGTCTAACCCATATATGGTCAGCCCATGTTGATGTCATGTGGGTTCAATGGTCAGCCCACATGGGCTTCCCATGTTGGGCCCATGATACTGAAACCACATGGCCCCCATATACTGTTGCCCAGTACTATCCCATTCCCAGATAGCCACTTAAAAAAGGACTGGGCCTACATATCCACACCCAGGTCTAACCCATATATGGTCAGCCCATGCTGATGTCATGTGGGTTCAATGTGGTCAGCCCACATGTGCTTCCCATGTTGGGCCCATGACTAGAACCACATGGGCCCCACATACTGTTGCCCAGTTCTATCCCATTCCCAGTTAGCCCACTTAAAAAGGACTGGGGCCCACATATCCACACCAGGTCTAACCCATATATGGTCAGCCCATGCTGATGTCATGTGGGTTCAATGTGGTCAGCCCACATGGGCTTCCCATGTTGGGCCCATGATACTAAACCACATGGGCCCCACATACTGTTGCCCAGTACTATCCCATTCCCAGTTAGCCCACTTAAAAAAGGACTGGGGCCTACATATCCACACCCAGGTCTAACCCATATATGGTCAGCGCATGCTGATGTCATGTGGGTTCAATGTGGTCTGCCCACATGGGCTTCCCATGTTGGGCCCATGATACTGAAACCACATGGGCCCCATATACTGTTGCCCAGTACTATCCCATTCCCAGATAGCCCACTTAAAAAAGGACTGGGGCCCACATATCCACACCCAGGTCTAACCCATATATGGTCCATGTTGATGTCATGTGGGTTCAATGTGGTCAGCCCACATGGGCTTCCCATGTTGGGCCCATGATACTAGAACCACATGGGCCCCACATACTGTTGCCCAGTACTATCCCATTCCCAGATAGCCCACTTAAAAAAGGACTGGGGCCCACATATCCACACCCAGGTCTAACCCATATATGGTCAGCCCATGCTGATGTCATGTGGGTTCAATGTGGTCAGCCCACATGGGCTTCCCATGTTGGGCCCATGATACTAGAACCACATGGGCCCCACATACTGTTGCCCAGTTCTATCCCATTCCCAGATAGCCCACTTAAAAAAGGACTGGGGCCACATATCCACACCCAGGTCTAACCCATATATGGTCAGCCCATGCTGATGTCATGTGGGTTCCATGTTGTCAGCCCACATGGGCTTCCCATGTTGGGCCCATGATACTAGAACCACATGGCCCCCACATACTGTTGCCCAGTACTATCCCATTCCCAGATAGCCCACTTAAAAAAGGACTGGGGCCTACATATCCACACCCAGGTCTAACCCATATATGGTCAGCCCATGCTGATGTCATGTGGGTTCAATGTGGTCAGCCCACATGGGCTTCCCATGTTGGGCCCATGATACTGAAACCACATGGGCCCCATATACTGTTGCCCAGTACTATCCCATTCCCAGATAGCCCACTTAAAAAAGGACTGGGGCCCACATATCCACACCCAGGTCTAACCCATATGGTCAGCCCATGCTGATGTCATGTGGGTTCAATGTGGTCTGCCCACATGGGCTTCCCATGTTGGGCCCATGATACTGAAACCACATGGCCCCCATATACTGTTGCCCAGTACTATCCCATTCCCAGATAGCCCACTTAAAAAAGGACTGGGGCCTACATATCCACACCCAGGTCTAACCCATATATGGTCAGCCCATGCTGATGTCATGTGGGTTCAATGTGGTCAGCCCACATGGGCTTCCCATGTTGGGCCCATGATACTAGAACCACATGGGCCCCACATACTGTTGCCCAGTTCTATCCCATTCCCAGTTAGCCCACTTAAAAAAGGACTGGGGCCCACATATCCACACCCAGGTCTAACCCATATATGGTCAGCCCATGCTGATGTCATGTGGGTTCAATGTGGTCAGCCCACATGGGCTTCCCATGTTGGGCCCATGATACTAGAACCACATGGGCCCCACATACTGTTGCCCAGTACTATCCCATTCCCAGATAGCCCACTTAAAAAAGGACTGGGGCCCACATATCCACACCCAGGTCTAACCCATATATGGTCAGCCCATGCTGATGTCATGTGGGTTCAATGTGGTCAGCCCACATGGGCTTCCCATGTTGGGCCCATGATACTAGAACCACATGGGCCCCACATACTGTTGCCCAGTACTATCCCATTCCCAGATAGCCCACTTAAAAAAGGACTGGGGCCCACATATCCACACCCATGTCTAACCCATATATGGTCAGCCCATGCTGATGTCATGTGGGTTAAATGTGGTCTGCCCACATGGGCTTCCCATGTTGGGCCCATGATACTGAAACCACATGGGCCCCATATAGTGTTGCCCGTTTCTATCCCATTCCCAGATAGCCCACTTAAAAAAGGACTGGGGCCTACATATCCACACCCAGGTCTAACCCATATATGGTCAGCCCATGCTGATGTCATGTGGGTTCAATGTGGTCTGCCCACATGGGCTTCCCATGTTGGGCCCATGATACTGAAACCACATGGGCCCCATATAGTGTTGCCCAGTACTATCCCATTCCCAGATAGCCCACCTAGTTGCTGAATAGGGCCCATGCATTTAGCCCATATGGGCCAGCCCATATGGGTCTCATTTTAGGTTAACCATATGTGTCCCATGCAGTTCGCCCAGATAAAACCCATGCCCACTCATTACCCATGTAGCCCACATCAAACACAAGTGGGGCCCACTCATGAGTGCTGGCTGGGATATTGCGTATTAACATGAATATAATTGCATTCAGTTACAGCCAAGGCTGATTTCCATCGTTTGTCCCCCTGCCAGACTGAATAAAGTAAAATGAATAAAGAAAAACAACAGCAAACAAAAGGGGTCGTTACTATTCATGTGGTTTTCTTCTGCAACAACAAAATAAAGCGTGTTAACACGATTAGTTAGCCTGGGTGCTGTCCAGGGGCGGACCTGTCCAAGGTGCACTGCGCCGCTCACCCATCAGAGGGCGCCATCGCGTTTTCAGAAGAGTTGTCATGGTGAAAACAACTCAAAAATACATAAATAACCTGAGCATGAGCGAGCAAGGCGACCATTAATCTCAAAACCCTTTGCGATCCATCAGCCAAAGGCCAAACATTCATAATTAAATCGAATTAAATGAGTTAAATGGAAGAGTGGCTGATAGTTAAAAAAAAAGAACATTTATGTTGGAATTGTACTATTATTTAAACGTGCCCATGCAATCAAATCAATGGAATAAAATAACATGTTTAGAATAAGCAATTAAAATCACGATGCACTATTTAATTGCGTCACGCATTTTTATTTTTATTTTATTTTTTACTGTTTTACGGTTCCGCTCTTCGGCCGTTTGGTTTCGTTTGACAGTATGACATCACAGGGACGCAGAACCCGCAGAGGACCGACACCGAGGCCGCATACGTCCGGCAGCAGTTTTATTTTATTTATTTATTTATTTTTTACATAGCAGGTCTGTGTGGGTTCATCTGTTCTCCCGTCCTCTAGCACCACCGGTGGCCAGAGGCGCTGCGAGGCATCCGCGTTTGTGCGCGTGTGTCACAGGAGGAGAAAGCTGTAGGAGTTAGTTTTATATAGATATATATATGTGTGTATGTATGTATATTTCTACTACAGCGGATCAAGCCTGCCGCCGCTGCCGCCTCCTCCTTCAAGTCGTTCGTTGATTTAGCGGGATGGCGGATATTTTAAGGAGACTGATCAGTGCGTCCTCGTTCAGCGTCTTACAGGACAAGCTGGAGAGCTGGCACCGGGACTACCACGTAAGTTCATCAATAAGTCACGATCGAACCTAAATCTGACCACAACGCTCCGGATATTCATTTCTACCCGACGGCATCCCGCAGCACCACGCCGCGCTTTTATTTGATCCATTTATCCATTTTTCGCGTGCGATTTAATCGAGAGAAGAAAAAAAAAAATATGTCGGTAAAATGTGTTGAAATACAGATATGTGTTTATGAAGTGTGTTTAAAGTTTGCGCTTTGATGCAGGTGACAGGTGAAAGTCCTTCAAATCAATCACGTTTTAACATTTCAGAGTAAAGGAATGACTTTTTTTTTTTTTTTACTTTTTGATTTCTCTGTAGAGTTTGGTTGTCATGAACGCTGATCGCCATGGTAACGGTCGGGCCGTTCCAAAGATGTTTTCTCTGTTCAGAGCATTCCTCCTCTGTTTATTCCTTGGACAGAAATCACAGCCTGTAGCTGAAATGTAAATATTGAGGACACGAGGGGTTTAAGGTGTGGAAGTAAGAAACTGGGCAAAAATAGTAGACTTTTTATTATTATTATTATTATTATTATTATTATTATTATTATTATTATTATTATTATTATGTTTTAGTTATCCACTTCCAAATCCAATTTATACACGGAAATGAATAATCAAATCAAGGCTGGTGATTGATGGTTTATTTTTAGGAATTTAATGTGATTCCAGTCTTTGAAAAAAAATGGAACAAATTGAAACTTTTATTCTTTCTTTACTGACCTAGTTTGTGTTCAGAAAGACGAGCCAGCGGTGAATATTGCTGCTCAATTTTTGTCGACAAATTTCTCCACATACAGGTTCCATCTTTTCCCTTTTTTTCCCCCACCCAGGTGTTTTCCTGTGATCAGAATGTGAACAGATGTTGTGAGCTGATCGAGCTCACTGCCAAAATTCAAGGCCAGCTGTTTAGCATCCTAAATGTTACCGCAGCTGATGGTAAGCTTTGCATTGTGACTGCTTGGGAAGCATATTTCTTTTCAAACTCTTGCTTGATCTTTGAAAGATGACTCAGATACCTTTCGTCACGTATCAGGTGGTCGCTACGGTGGAGTGGACACTCTTAAAACGCGTTTTCTGCCTTGGCTTGGAAGCTGTTTCTCCATGTCAAGGCCCTCCATCGCAGACGACACCAGCCTGCAGCTCATCCAGGTTTGACCTTTGGTCTTTCCTCCAGTTCAACAATGCCATTTTAAAAAAACATCAACCGCGTGGTCAACCGCCTCGGTCGCATTGTGGCTCTGCGGTGGCGTTGACTTCGGCCTGTTCTGTCGCCATCAGGACGCAACAGAGAAGGACAGAAAGATGCAGGAGCTCTGTTTGGCCCATGAGAACGAGATAAGAAAGCTGGAAGTTCAACTGAACTCTACCAACATCCAGCTGGGGTCCGTCACTGCAGAGTGAGTCATGCTGTCATGTGTTTTATATCTGAGAGAGTCGTTTGGGGAAATGAAACATTTGACCATTTGAACGCAAATGCTTCCTTGTGCTCCAGACTGTTGGAGGCTCAGAAGAAGCTGGACGACACAAAGTGCAAGTCGGCGACCACCCTGCTCGCCACAGAGGAGGAGATCTTGCAGCTCAAAGCGGAGTGGGTGATGTAGTTCGGAAGCGTTACGGCATTGTGCACGCTTCACAGTTATGTTGTGAGAGATTCATTTCCCCCCCCCCATGCATATTGACCTTCTGTTTTAGTTTGCGTTCTGCAAATGAACAGCTGGACTTGTATAAGAGGAAGCAGAGCACCGTTCACGACTACGACCGGCAAATTCGCTTGTTGAAGGATGAGTTGGCTTATCTGAGCTCGGAGAAGATGATGCTGCAAGAGAGGTAACATCTGACTGATGTGCAAACATCAAATCGTCTCACGCCGAAATGCAGTGGTGTTCTACGTATGCTGCCTTTGTAGAAATATTCACACCCATTGAGCTTTTCCCACATTTGGTCCTGAAACAATCATCATATTTTATTGGGACTTTAGGAGCAACACAAGTAGTATATAAGTGGAACAACAACCAACCGTGCTTTACAATTTCTTTTTACGCAATTTAAAAACTGAGAAATGTAGCGAGAATTTAAATTCTTACAATTTGTGGGGCCACATATTGCTGCCATTAAGGTCGATCTCACACCTGACAGTCCAGTCGATGAATTGCAACAATTGTTCCATTTGTAGCTGCTGCCGTCATCTTCTGCACTGCACCTTGTCAAACAATCCAAATCCTTTGAAAAAACAATTTTCCTCCTCACCTGAGGTGGCGCTGCACCGAGAACAACTGAAGGAAACTGCATAAATATAAACTTCTGAAGAAGACATGAGTGCAACTTCCTTCTGCACAAAATGTAAACAAATGTGCTAGACTTGCACATTTGTTTTGATTGTACTCACCCAGAATTCCCTGCACTGTAGTCCACTTCCTGCTTCTTTTGGAGCGGTCCCCGGTCCTTTTGGCGTTCACATACGCATTTGAACCGCTCTGGAGTTCACAACCAAGGTTTTTAGATGGACCAGAGTTTGCTTTTCTTTGCCCGGATCAGAGTTTGATTGCACACTCACATCTCCCCAAACAAACCGGGCTTCCTAGATAAACGCGCTAGAGTTTAATTGCAGTGAACTAAGCAGGGCTGGTGTGAGCGCACCCTTAATCTGCAAGTTTTTTAAAGTATGTCTGCCACTGTTGCACAATTGTTGGCTAAAATTGATATCCATCCTCCTTGGAAAATCTTAAATTCAATCAGATTAGATGGAGAAAGTCTGCAAAGAATTTTCAAGTTTTACCATGGATTTTCAGTTGAAATTAGATATGAAGTTTTGGTATGATTATGTTTGGATATGAACCTTGTGGCTCTCGTTGTGGGTTTAGGGTTGTCATCCTGCTGGAAGGCGATCCTTGAATCCATCTATAAGTCATCTGCAATCGTTGTGTTAGTCTATTACATTAAATCTCAATAAACTCCAATGAAACTTCAAGAGAAATTGTTGAAATGTTCAGGAGTAATGAATGTTTTCACAAGGCGCTGTAGGTGTAGTTGCCGTGTTGGTTTCCACCTCTTTCTCAGGTTGAGCAGAAGTCGCTCTCCGAGCCCTTTGCCCCTGACGATCCGCTCATCCAGCCCCCGGGGGAGCACGTCGCCCACCAGAGCCCAGCTGACCAACTCCTCACGCCACGCACGCCTCATCTCGCGTTTCAGCGATCTGTACACCATGGAGCGTCTAGACGCACAGTCCCTCCTACGGCGCTACATCCCAGACTTGGAGATGGTCCAGAGAATCATCTTCATCGCTGTGACGGTACAATATAAGCAGAACATTACAATGCAACGCACAATCTCAGTATCAACGTGCAAAATTCTGTAGCATCGCTGCACAGGAGTACCGTATGATTTTCCCTGTTTTAGGAGTCCTTCCAAAAAGCAAAACTGGCCTATCGTCAGTTCAAGCAGCAAGTGAGAAAGACGTTGTCCACATCCCACTATGGTCCGGAGAGTCTCGAGGACGCGGCTGTGGATTACATTGTTAGGAACCTGGACCTCTATGATGTCCTGTGCAGTGTCAACGTAAGAGAAAATGATTTTGATCGTCTTAATAAATGTGAGATTCATGTATCTAAAATAAAGTGAGTTCGTCTTAAATATGTCAGCGACAGGTCTCAAATTTGGTTTCAGACCTGTAAAGGTTTGGGTTTTTTTTGTCTATCAGGCAAAAGTTTGAGTCGACATCTTCACTGCACTCTGTGACTTGATGCAGTCGAAGCAACTGTTAATTAGCTGCTAATTTACTCCAGCCGACTAGCTAGGTAGATTTTTGTGTCCATCATGGATAAGTGCAAATTTGTCGCCAGTTGCCTGGACGATGATTATCTTTACCACTTGTAATACAGCAGAACAAATTTTGCATGTATGTAAAACATGCAAGCCGCTGCTTTTTATTAATGCAGCACTAATACAAAGAAAAACACAGGGTAACGTCTGACGGCAATTTTTCTCTGCATGTTCTGCATTGCTATCAGAGTACAGAATGCTACACTCAAATGCACATCACACTGGTATTCAATGTTTTGAATACCAGATATCAGTACTTAGGACACTGTGTACCTCATTGTGTTCTCCTCATAGGATGTAATCCTTGCTATGAACAAGAACCCCCAGATCTCCTTCCCTCCAGAAGTGGACTTCAGACTCATCAGTCCCTTGATCAGAGAGACCTGCAAGGTGGCTTTTGCCATGCAGACACTGGACCCACCACTCGACTTGGCCTACGGAAGCAACGGTGAACTATTCAGCAACACCAAGTTAGTACAATACAAATTTCTGGGGACCGTGTGTAGATGAAGCTAAGAGTTGACTGCAGTCGGCCACATCAGTTGTTGTACATTGCTCCGACCAGCAGGGGTCACCCTCAGCTTATCTGTGATGGAGACTCGCATCTCCCTCTCTGCGTTCCAGGTACCGTCGCAGCTTTGACTCTGATTTCAGTGCTCCGCTGGTGGTCAACTACGTGTGGCCGGCTCTGATGGAAGGAAGCACGGTTGTTGTTAAAGGAGAAGCCGTGACCAGAAGAGGCGCACTGGTAAATATTTCACAGTAGTTGGGGGAAAAAAATGGTTTGGAAACCGAGATGAAAACAGAAGTGGCTCTGCAGAGTTGAACAGTGGAGTTTCGTGTGAATGTTTCTGTTTTTTGTTGTTTTTCTGCAGTGGAGCAGAAGCAGGAGCAGAAGCGCCAGCCCTGCACGCTCCCGATCTCTCAGCCCGACCCGCAGCGTTGTAAGTCTATAACATTTGAGAGTTCCAACCGAGCAACGAGATTATGGTCAAACTTTGCAAATTTGTTGACAAATGAATCTCTGACACGCATGCTCACACGTGGCTCTAAGGGTATGTTTCCAAAGACAAAAGTTCCAGTTCAATTCAGATGTGTGAATGAACACTTCATAGGCCTGCAAACAAAGTAGACTCACATTCTATTTTGTTTAATCTTATAGAGATTTAACGAAAAAAGAAGCCTGTCTCCTGGACGCCTCACTACCAGACACCTGTAAGCACTCGCCTCATTGGTCAAGAGTGAAGTGAAGTCCGCCTGTGCTTCCTATACATGAAATAAACTTTTACGGATTTGTTTATTTGATTTCTATGTTGTTTGGGTCTGCTTCAACCAAATATGTCACCAACCAGAGGTGCAAAAACAGGCAGGCAGCTACTGTGACTATATTTAGAGGTTTGTTTTTGTTTTGTTTTGTTTGACTAAATTGTATTCTGGACACATCAACAAAAGTCATATTGATATTGTCGACTTCCTATTTGTCTCTAAGTCCTGCGCCTGAAGCTGTAGTCTTTATATGAAGGGCAGTGAAGAATGTTACTTTATGGTGCGAAAGTTACCAGTTCTGCCCTCACATCCTGCACTGCTTGAGCTTCTGATATTGATCAATATGTCTATTGACATAGGTTCGTTTTTTTATATTTTTGTTTGAATTTTACTGTGTGTGGTATTAATTTGTTAAACAAGAAATGCCTTGTGACAGAGCAATGTTCAGAGGCCTCTGGAGGAGAAATGTTATTTCAGCTTGTTACAGTGCAGGATGTTTTCTTTTTCAATGAACATGATAACAATTCATATTTTAAGTAGTGGCTTGAACGATAGTTTCATTTTAAATTGAGTTTAATTTTGCAGTACGAATAAAATGTTCTTTATGACCAATTGTAATAAACTGACCTTTTTCTCTTGAGCTTTGCTGTGTCTTCGATCACACAAATGGCCGAGTATGTTAGCCGTAGCTACGAAAACGTAACAGGTTACATTTGGTTTGTTGACATTTGTTTAAGTGCACACCTTTAGTTCTAACTAGAGCGACTGTGTTGCTTCTCTGCTACGACACAATTTATTTATTTCCATCTTAGAAATGTCGGGACAATAAAATCGTTTTCATGGAATGCTTCCATAAAAACTAACCTTAAAAATGTATTTCTTTTTAAGGTTTTGTTGGCTCTAGTGATCTTTATTTGAAAGAGAGGGGGAAGACATGCAACAAATGTTGCCAGGCCGGGACTCAAACCTGCGACTACCGGCACAAAGACTAAGTGGGCTGTGCTTTGCCCCTAGACCACCACAGCACCAACAAGGTTCTTCGTTTTGGTGTCCCCTCTTCTGAGCCAAATTGAACCTGAACACTAGATAAGGCTGGACTTCAGGACGGAGTGCCGCAATATGAGAAACGCAGTTCAACACCTTTCTGCGATAAGAACCACAGCAATAATCATCAGATATCCATGTTCCGAAAGCCATTTGGTTGTAGAAACAAAACCAACATTCTGCTGCAGGCATGCATGTCGGTGCACCATCTTTTCACTTGAATCATTTTCTGTGGGGTACCCCGGCAGCAACATCCCTGCTTTGACTGGTTCGTGATATTTAATTAGTACTTCCCATCTGCTGGCTAAAACACCCACAGACACAGTTTCCCACTAGGGATGCTCTAATTACGTCCCCAGCTCGCATCTAACACCCCAAAGCCCTGACTGTAGCAGCCACGGCCCACGATCTGAAATGACCGCCTGTTTACGTGTTCACGCACCGAGAGAGAAGTCGGTGCGACTGGATCACGATTGTGTTCATTTCTTGGCGTTTGCTCTCAGCTGTAATCGGAACGAAAAGCACAGGGATCACACATCAGAGGCACCATGTGTGAGCAGAGACTGACACACACACACACACACACACACACACACACACACACACACACACACACACACGTACACACACCCACACACACACACACACACGCACACACACACACACACACACACACGCACACGCATACACACGCATACACACACACACCCCACACACACACACACACACACACACACACACACACACACACACACAGTAACAACACGATCATCATCTCATGGTGTCACATCACCAGTTTCAGATCTACAAATATTCGTTTTGTTTTCATTGAACAATCCAGATTCCAGATCAGGGCTGCGACTAACGAGGGTTCTAGTAAATAATAAATTTTGCAATTATTTTGTTGATTAATTGATTAATTGGAAATAAAAAAAAATTGACACTTTCTACAGATTTTCCATTTAAAACCTTTAATTAAATACATGCTTTAACTAAAGGCTTTAAATGGAGGCAGAAAACACAAAATTCAATTCCTTTTTGAAAATAGGAGATAAGCATTTTATTGGCGAGAATGGACCAGCGCTGCATTCCCTTAGTGTGCGCTTGATTACTTGCAGCAAAGGATGGGTGTGTCGCTGAAAAAATTTGGATTCATCACGACGAAGCTGATGAATCGTTTCCACTTACGCCTCCATTTCTTCTGGAAATGGAGGACCTTCTTGGTTGACGGGTCCGTCAGCACCATTCAGAGCCCTGATCTCATATCCACCAAGTCGTCTCATCACCTTCCCACGCAATGAGCATCTTCTCTGATCGTCAGAAGGTTCTCAAAGGCCTTCCTCCTGGTGAACAGTGCAGGTCCCGCCAACATGAGGAGACGGAGGAGGAGAAGGGAGCTCTGTCTGTCACGCAGACGACCCTAGAGGAAAACCTCATGTCTGCTGCCACTGAAAACAGAAGCAACAATTCATGGCTGTGGTGGCAGTAAAGTTTTACCAGACTGAGACAGAATTAAAGTTTGGTGGCATGAGGGCTGGCTCAGAGCTGCTGGAGCGTGCCATGTTTCCTGTGGTTGTTCTCAGTGAGTTTTCATGGCAGCAGCCCAGAGTCGGATAGTAACCGCCTACATTTACTCAGATACATCTCCTTGTGTGACCTTTTTGGGGGTCAAAAATGTGCTTTTGAGGGGTTTTTTTTTACTAAATTTTACTTTTCACTCTTACTTGATTCAATTGATAGTGAAGTATTACCCTTACCTGAGTAAAGTTTCTAGAAGCTCACCTACAGTTTTGTTGGTTTCATAAGTTTTTCATTGAAAGAAACTGATTTGAAAAAAAAAAAGATTCTTTTCCCTGATTTTGTCATAATGTAATTATTACTAACAAATATTTTTTTATTTTGATCTTTGAAGTACCAACATTTCCACATGTCTTTGCACTCCATGGAAGTAGTGCTACTCTTACTTGAGTACAACTTTTGGGAACTCTACTGTCTTTCCTAGAAACTGACTGTCTCTCTTTAAGTATCCTAGGCCCATGTGAGTTGCTCACCCACCAGACACAGATGAGAACCTACTGATGAAATCGTCAAGTTAAACCGTCAAGGCATTTTGCTGCGACCGAGTCACCTTTTAACAGAGCGGGTGTGAGAAGCTGTCTGTCTGTGACCCACATAGGCTGCTGTCCACGTCTGGAATAAAACAGGATGAGGTTTTTTTCTTTTTGCAGAGGAGGACGCCACAATTTATGGCAGGAGAGACAAAGTTGTGGAGAACCGCCAGTTCACCACATGGTTGACCAAACTCCACCCTGCTTGTTCTCATTTCCAGCCTCTCTTTGCCTCCCCAGGGCGTCCCCACCCCCCACCAGCCCCACCCCGGGGCGCTGACTGGTGGTGTGTGAGATCATTGCCCTGTGGTCCGGCTGCGGGCATCAGCCTGACAGACCCGAAGGAGTAAGCAGGCGTGACTGCTGACCCTCCTCTCTCTCTCTCTCATGCTTCTTTCCTCTCCCTGTAACAACCTTCAAATCAAATGAAGAACGACTTCGGATTTGGACCGTGTGTTTTTTTTTTTCCCAGAGCGGACATTTGTCCGCGCTCCATCCTGCCCTGTCATCCTTTGCACATCTGTGCAAAGTGCAGAGTGAAGTGTAGCGTGCAAAACGTATTCATAACTCTTGGACTTTCCCACATTATGTCAGATGACGAACTCGCAAAGTATTACATTTTGTATTTGTTCCCCCCTTTTTTGTTCTGGCAGCCTAAATAAAGTGAGGCCAACACTGATACCAGAAAAGACCCAGTTAATAAGTGGAGTCCACTGCTGTGAAAGTTTATTACAGCTGGTGTTTGTTGGAGATCATAAGTGAACAAACAGGATGTGAGAAAAAATTGCAAATGGAGGGGAGTGTTGTCTTCAGCAGGGGCAGGAAAGCTAGTCACAGTGAATATTAATCAATCAATCAATAAATCAATCAATCAATCAATCAATCAAGTTATGTTGCGTAGCACATTTCAGGAACAAGGATTCAAAGTGCTTTAAATTTTATTTGTAACGCACCTTATATTTCAAAGAAATCTCAAAGTCCTACAGAGACACAAATAAATTGTAGAACTTACAATCAAACATACAATAATACATTTCACATCAAATGGTACAAAAATACAATTAAAAACTTGCAATTTATAGCAAAACTTACAATTTATTTGCATCATAAAAACACACAAAAAAGTCATAAAAACATTTTTTACAGTCACCAATTTGAGAAACCGGTGACAAACATTACATTTTGTCCAGCGCCATCATAAAAAATATCAATACGTTGATGGAACATTGGTCAATATACTGATCAATGTTCCATTTACTATGGTTCAAAAGCAACTCCAAACAGGCTTTTAATCTGAAATGCAGAAATTTATATATACTTTCTTTAGGAAAGTTAAATATTGTTAACTCTCCAATTATTCAAGATTCTTCACAGAATAGATCTGGACAGGAAGGATCTCCTGTAGCGGTCTGTATTACAGTGAATTTGAAGTGGCCTCTGACTGAAGACACTCTGTATTTCTATGACAAATGAAGTGGATCCAACTGATTGATTTTACGTTAGAGATGAATTTGGAGGAAGATAAAATCCTGGATGTAAATCAGAGGGCGTCATGAACTTGAAGTTCGGTGGAGGTTCGCCTCCCAGCAACAAAACAACTGCATATATGCAGCTACAGCTGTATATTTACGGTTTATATTGCAGCATATTAATGTGCCAAAATGGCCTAGACAAAGTCCAAATGCAAGTCCAGTGGAGGTGCGCGGAAAAACTTTGAAATGTACGTTAATTAATGCTCTTCATTCAATCTGGGTGAGTTGGAGCCATTTTGCCAACAACGACTCGTCCCCTTTTTTCTGATTTTTATTTGCAAGTTTGAATTTTTTTCACTTTCCCATCATCTTATTTCTACATCACAATCACGGCTCACTCTGTTGGTCTGTCATGTGAAATTCCAGCGACCTAAAGGCTGAGGCGAGTTGTAGAAAGTGTCCAGGTCTGAGTTCTGGGATGGATACATCCGAGGTTTTATATCTCTGCTCAAGTTTCTCATGAAATCATTCAGACTCCTTTCAACAAGAATTGCCTTTGAACAAACACGCCCCCCGCCCCAAAAAAAAAAAAAAAAAAAAAACCCCGGTGTTAAGTGAGGTGCTCTTCTTCATGATTTTTCCACTTGATGAGTTTTTAACAAATCTCCTCTGGCTGCTGTTACCTTTTTTCTCGCCAGAGGATGAAAAGGTTGAGAGATCTGGTGGTAAAAAAAAAAACTCCCATCTGTAGGGTAAATATACCACCGTCTGCTTCCACTAGAGCAGCTGCTGCATAATAAAGACACATAAAGATGAATGTGAAGTGAACCCCGGCTTCCTCTTTCCATCCCGGGCTGCAGGTGTGACTTCGGAAGAGGTCACTTGCTCCTCTGGGGCTTTTTAACTCTTTGGATTTTTGATCCAGAAACACGTGATGGATCCCGGTGCCAGATCCGAGCCTGGTTTTAACGTTAGTCATGCCGAAGCTGAAGAGAAAATGGAAGTGAGGAAAAAAAAAAAAGCAGGTGAAAAGGTTTATTGAATGTGGCTGGTGCATATGGAAGCACTCTAGTGCCCGGTTCGGCCGTCTGGACTGGTTACGACTAAATGTAGCAGGGTGTCCTTAAATGTGCCCGACTGTTAAAATTCTCTCATGCACAGATTAAATGTTAAATGAAAGTGTGGCTCTACAGATTAGATTACAAAGGGCTTTAAAACCTTGTGTTTTTTTTTTCAATGGAAAACAAGAGTTTATAGTCTGCAACCAGGCCAGCTTGGCCATTTCATTATTTCAGTTTTGCTTGAAACTAATAAATGTAGCCCACGTCTACATTTATTATTCACGTTTTATTTCTTTGTTCAGTGCTTTGGTCCCACTTTATGTTATCAGTTCACCAATAGACACTTTATATACCATTTATACTTGTTTATTATGCTTTAATTAAGTTTGATTAGGAGTTTATGAACGGCGATTGTGCTAACAACGCAGTCTGAAATGTTTAATATAATAACTGGACACTGAACAGATCTGGGTCACTATTTGGCAAGAAACTGGTAGATTTTGTCTTCTCAGCCTTAATTAATGCATAATAATAAATGTTTAGAGATGAAGTAGTAACACATCTATGAACTATTTATTATCCATCTCTAAGTCTTGTTGTAAAGTGGCATTCATATTGTTTTTATTGTAGAGTGAGTTTTTAACGTCCACCGCCAGATGGCAGTTTGACTCCACTTAACACTGAAACATGAACACTGCTGGGAAAATGCAAAACAATCTTGTGGGGAGCTTTGCATGTCAAACCGAGATGCACACAGCAGCAAAAAGGCACAAACAAAATGTGCAACTGCTTGTCATACATATGGCAAAATCACAACCGTCGTCGTGAACAATTACATAGGTCTAAACTGATATTGATCGCCAATACGTAAACAATGTGTTCTTCATGGGTACGGCATCCTGGTTTTGAGCGGGTCATCAGAGGTCAAGTTTTAGGTTTCCTCACTACTCAGATTTAAAGGTGCAGTTTGGTTTTTGATTTGTTTTTTTTTGTTTTTTCTTCCTGAGATCGACCAGACAGTTGAGGAGCTCTGCATGAAGAAGAGAAATTTTAATCCCCAGCACTTTGTGCAACTTTTACGTCACCGTCTGCTTTTCTTTTCACAGACCGAAAGAGACGAATCAGTCCCCAGTCTGTCCGCCGCGGCGTTGGCTCCACGGAGACGCGTGTTTGACAGTGAAGGTAACTAAATCTGTGTGGTGGATGAGGAGAGCAGCTGCTCCTCCGTCCACACCTGCATAAACGTCCCAGTTTGGACGTCAAGTAAGATTGTTCTTCACGACAGAGTTCAGACATGTCACACAAGCCTTCCTGATTACAGAGGGTTTCTGATAATCCTTTTTGTTTGGCTTGCAGAAAAGTTGTTAGTCTAGCATTAAGAAAAAAAAGAGAAAACAAATCACTATCTGGTGTTGTGCTTTTTTAAAATTTAAAATCAAGAGATTGTAAAAAACACAGTTGGGTTATGAAGCTTCGATTTCACACTGCAGGATTTCAGGACAAAGGCTGTTTTTAAGAGGTGAATTGAAGAAAAAACTGGTTTTTTCTTCAATTCTTAATCAAATTATCCCAAATTCCCGCAATTAGAAAACATCACAGCTGATAAGCAAGTTTTAAAGAGGTAGGTTATATATTTTACCTTCAGTTGTTGTGAAAATGCAGCATGGATAAAATATAAAAGATATTTGATTTCGCAACTTTGAAATTGGACTGCGTCTCTTCATGACGCATCCACTCTTTCCGACACTCTGCCTTTCAGCACACCGCTTATCCATCGTGGAGCGTTGGACTGGGAAGTAGTTCGTCTGACGAGCTCAGCAGTTCCACAAGGTGTTTGCCAATTGCTGCTGCTAGTCTGAAGGAGCCGAGGCGTCCCCGCGTCGTTAGCTCGGCAAAAGTGGAGGAGCTTTGTGCAGTTAGGCGCTTAGCCACCTTAAAAGGCCCAATAAAAGCAGCTCAAGTTGATCTCAGCTGTGACATTCTCTAAATAAACGCCGACTTTGCGGAAGAAGCTCGTCGAGGACTTGCTGGAAGTTTCCCTCTGGAGGAACTTATTTTTAGGACGATTTCCCTGTAAGTGCTGGTCTATATACAGCTCAGAGTAATGACTAAATTACGCTTCATAGATATATTTGGACAAGAAAAAAAGAAAAACACTAATTTATAGAAATGTTCTTTAGTTATTTAAAGCTTGAATGAGAAGAGAGGAAGAAGTTAGTAAGACGTCCCCTAAACAATTATTCAATGTGTTTGAGGCAAAAAGATGTTGTTTCCTGACACAGATCCTTCTTCCAGCTTTCCCTAAGTGTGAGTACAATACTAACCAACTAATGTGAATTATTGACCCTGTTTGCAAAACTATTCCAATACAAGAAAAACAGCAAAAACATAAAATCTTACCAAGTAGTTTTGGTCTAGTTTCTAGTGCTAAAATGTACTAACTTACAAATAGCTTTTCAGCAAGACACACAAGCTTGTTTTAATTCAATAATTTCTTAATATTGTTGAAAAAAATCTGGGTAAAATAAAGAATAAATGCATATTTTTGTGTACATGAGGTTTGCGTTGACATTAACACCCTCTTCTTCCGGTCTTGGTATCATCAGCCATTGAACGTCTGATGGACGGAGTGGAAACGCGTTCCTGCCCTCCTGCATTTGTGTCTGTAGTTTCTGGGAAGATGCAGAAGGTTTGGCAGAATGCTCTGACGAGGAGGATTTGTTTTCTTTTTCTTTCTCCAAAGTTTCTCTCCTTCTCTCTCTCTTTCTCGTCGCTTCTCCCTGCAGGAGCCGAAGTGTTTCTAAGAATCATCCCTGCGATGTTTCCATGGAAGCTGAGTGAGATAACAGTGAACCGCTCTGGACCTCCTGCGGGGCGTTCACTAGATCTCCACTTCAAACTCTTGAAGCAAATTGCAGGAAAAGACAAACAGATTATACTCCCTCTTCCTGATTGCGCCTCACAATTCTGATCCGCTAAACCCCAGAAAGGGGGAAAGACACAAGCTGTGTGTTCGGTTCTGACATTTTGATCGCAGCTGATGATTCAGAGGAGCTTTTTGTGTGTGTGTGATTACTGGGTTACATCAGTGTGTTACAAAAGAGGACTTTGAACCACTTAGAAACGATCCAGGCCTTGTTCTTCTCAGGACAACTAGGAAGCTTCGGGAGACAAGACAGGAAGTTTAATATCTGTAACTTATTTCTTGGACACATGTCTCGTTCCTGAATCTCTTCTAAGCTCTTCAGTCATAATCCCCCCATTGCTTGAGCACCTTTTTCCTTCCACTCGACTTTCCTTTAATGTGTTTATGTACCGCCTCCTGTTGAAGGCTTTCTGCATGTTTTGCAATATTTCTACAGATCAATAAATAACAGATGTTCTATAAATGAGGTTGGACTCAAAACAGCCAAACATCATAAAAACCCCTCTTTAATAAAATCTATTTAATGTGTCTAAATAATCAATATGCATTGTAGCTAAGCTGTGTTTGCGTTGACATGCAAACACACTTGAAAACATGAATTGCTTTTCTGTGCTCTACTTTGTGTTGGTTTGCTACATAAAATAAAAACATAAGAATGGATGTTGTATTTTGACACAATGTGAAAGTGCTTGAGGGATATTATCAACTTTTAGGTTGTTTTTTTTTAAGCTGCTCCCTATCTCAACTGGAAAATTTAAATGGGAAAGGGTTTTCCTGGTTAATTAAATCAAAAAAGAGGGTGAGAGAGATTATTTCTAATCCGTCAATCAGAACTTCCTGCAATCCATGCATTGATGCAACTTACAAAAGGCTTTTCCAGAATTTACCCGTAAGGAGCAGGGAGTGTGCAGTTAATGAGGCAAGTTAATGATGCAGATGATTGCAGTGATTAAGTCAAATTAAAACCCTTTGTGTGATTCACAGTGTCCTTTGAATGCCAACTGGGTGGAGGCGAGAATTAAAGAGCAGTGGTAAAGGGTCCCTAAAACATTGACATGTTTTCTCTGAAATGGAGTTCGGATGGGTCACCAGTCTGGATTTTTACAAATAGTTTCAGGAAAATGTTAGACTTTCAGAGACAAATTTTTTCATGAAAATGTACATGTTTTAAGGGAGGATGACAAACTCCTGACAATACCGTGTTGACGCGAATTATTTAATTTTGGATTGTGACGTGTACCGACACTCTGGCAATGTGTGGAAAACATAAAGCACATTACGCTAAAGCATGAAACTGGTTTTTCTTTGTGACTGCAAAGCAACGTGTTTCTATCTAAACCGTCTCAGTACTGGTCTGCTGAAGAGATAGGTGGGACACATTTAAGATCTTTAAAGAAAACTGAAACGTAATTTGTCGTTTTTCTAATTCACACTTATGCATCACTTTGTGTTGGTCTGTGGCATAAAATCTCATCAGGAGACACAATGATGTTTGTGTGTTTCTCAAACTTTGACTTCAAACTTCATTGTGAAGCAGCGCTCCACTTCAGTCACGCTCAGGTGGATTCCCACTGAACGCGTCGACACAAGGAAGCATCCGAAAGATCAGTTCATTGTCATTTTTATTGAACACAAGAAAAAAGGTCATTGTGAGGATGTTACACTGCGGCTCATCTTGTCAAAGCCTCGAATCATCACTGATAAAGTGCACTTGCAATTATCTGCCATGTAGAGACGCGTTTGTCTCACCGATCCCCTCGCCGAGGCCCAGACATGTCCGACGCGGTGCAGAACGCCAAGACGCGCTCCCAGGACACGACTGGGCGTCCCGGTGAGGAAGAGTGCATAAGTTAATGGAAGCTCGGCTTGTTTACGAGTCCGTTCACATCGGCTCCTGCCGCAGTTTTCTACAGTCCGAACCCATTACCGTCATTAGAACAACGTGACAAACGTGAGCGTCGGCGCGTTCCTTTGATGACGCGGTTGTGACTGTAAAACGGCAGGCTTTTATTCTTTGTTGCCGACTGGACTCAAGCTTAAGATCTTCGCCATTTTCATATCTTCATTTTAAAAAAATATTTCCTATTATTAGAGGTACTCTTCTACACAAGTGTGTCTTCACGAAGAAGAAAAAAATAAAGCTCCACCAAAGACGGCTGCAAAGTCAGCATTTAAATCCGGTTTGGCACAATTTCCTCCGGTGGTGGAGAACGAGAGCGAGAGAGAACATCCGATTCTTCACTTTCAGCTCGGCCTCTCCTGCTTCGCTCACGCAAAATTATTCATCCTACCTTTTATCTATGATGTGTGAAATGGTGATTTCTCACTTATGTGCAGCAAACAGGAATGTCAAAACGAAGGAAAAAAAAAGTATGATATTTTACTTATCTACAGGAAACAGCCATAATAATAATAATAATAATAATAATAAAAGGAACCCTCCTAATAATGGATGAAAATCTACAGTACAAAGGATTCACAAGGATCCTTGGCTTTCAGGAGTCCAGTGTGCTACATAGAAAAATCTGACAAAAACCAAGACGAAACAAGCGAGCTGGTGTTCAATGTAGGAATATGGAAAAACAAACTAAATAAAAAAAACCAACCAAAAAAAAAACAACAACAACAGCAAAACGCAAAAACATCTGTGTGCAGCTCCAAAGAGATATGTAGTTCATTTCCCAATAGGTGGGGCGAGTTCAAGAGAAACATTTACCGCACATCTCAAACGTATACCTCCCCTCGTTAAAATGACAGCTTTAAGTCATGAAAACTGGAACCATTATAATAAGACGTTGATATTATTCCCACCTTCGATGTGACACATATCCTGTGATTCAACTGAAAAACTAATCAATTCGAGGTGAAAATGCAGCCAAAGCTTCCATAAACCTGTTTGCAAAAATGTGCCCGGTCTTCATCTAATGCTTAATTAAAGCACCTTTTGATTCCATTTCAGCGTTCGTCTTTAATTCGTCTGCCACCTGTTGGATCAGGATGAGCTGGAAAGTATTTCAGCTTTTAGAATTTACTTCCATAAATGCAGAAGTAATAAAGGATGACGGATTATATAATTGTACATAGACACCAGTCACCAGGAGGTACAGAAAAGTGGCATATTGAAAACAGTCATAATTACTAGAACTAACGTGGGGACTGACAAAGACTGGACTTTTTTTTTTTCAGTCCTCGCAAATATGAAAACAACACTGAACTTTCAGCCACAAGATGCAACATCCAGAGTGAAACATGGTGGTGGCAGCATCATACCCCGGGGTTACTTTTCTTCAAAGTATGGCCAAGTCAGGATGTAGGTATGCCTACAAACTCCTGGCAAAGAAGGCTGAATTCCTGAATACAATCAAAAGGTGCATCATCAAGTATAGGTGTTAAAGCTGCAGTATGTAACTTTTACAACAAAAAAATTTAATTAATTTTTTTAAAAGTGACAATATGAGACAGATAATCTATAAAAAAATCCCCTTCCTCCTAACGCAGACTGCAACACTCCCAGTCAGAAACAGCCAATCTGAGGCAGGAGGAGTGTCTTAGTGCTGCCAATCATACCAGTTGACGCGCTGCTAAACGTGATCATGTGGAAGAAACTTTTTACCGCCACAGGAAAACTGTTGGTCTGCCGTCTAGCTAACTAGCCTTAGCATTCATACCAAGCCCAGCTGTGGGGGACTAACTATAATTAACAAATATGTAAAATAAATAAATAAATAAATTACAGTTTTTTGTTTTTTTTAAAATAAAAGTTACATACTGCAGCTTTAAGGTGAGATCATATTTGTGCAACCAGGTTGTGGCTGCTTTTTCACGTCCACTATGTTCATCCCAAAGAAATGTGTTTTCCTGTTCATTTGTCCGGGATATGTCATCGCTTTACATTATATATATGTATATATAAATAAAAGGGGAGTGTAGAATATCGATATCCACTGTAATCTGATACAGTCCGACACGCCCCACTAGAAAATGATTAACGAATAAACAAATCCAAAAACAAGCAAAAAACAAAAAGATGCAAATGTTCCATCTTCTCCACATTTGTTACTAACATCACATATTGCACTAGTTTGACTTTTCGATGCACATCAAGAGGTTATACCGTTGTGGAATGTGTTTCCTGGGAGCTTAGGCAACACACCGTCATTTATCTGTCAGCATGAAAAAAAAAAACAAAAAAAAAAACAGAATAAATATGATAAAGTCAATAAATAGTTGGTTTCTTTCCAAACAAAAAACAAAAATTCAGCCAATTCCAGACATCCATTTGACGGGAAAATAATCTGAGTTGCACCAATCAGTTGGCCAGAGATTATTCAGGCAGTGCTCTGTTAACAATCAGCTCTAATCTAATAAATTCATCTTCTAGCTTCAGAAACACACCAACCAACCACTCTTTTTCTCAGCTTAATAAAATGGAGATCATTTGACAGTTCTCTCATTTTCTGTGTTAATCAAAACTGCAGTCAATCAAGCTGCAACACATTTTTCCTGTTTTTTCTTTCCAAACATCTCCCAAGTCTCGTATCACAAAATTTGATTTGGTCAACAGCGGATCAGAGCTGATCGGCATCGGCACGTTAGCCCCCGATTGGTGCGTCTCTAAAAAGCAGGTGTAGCGTTTAGAGTTTGTGGCTCAGTTAGTGTCAAAGGTTCTGATCGATCAGCTAATCTGTTACAGCTTCGGTGGTCTCAGATTAACGCTCAGATGCTGCTTCAGATTGAGATTTCTCTGTGGGTCGTACAGTGTTTGTCTCCAGCTATGTCCAGTCGCTTAAAAGACAGAAAAAGTAGCAGACAAATAGGGAACAGACATAGCCCTAATGAGAGGAAACACAAACTGGGTTGCACATGACGGACCTTACATAATTATATCTGATATGGTTCAGTTTCTGACCACTGGGGGAAACGGTCAGTGAAGTCCACACGCCTAACCCCAGGCTACTAGGTTTCTACGCCTCCCAGCAGCAACGCCACACTGCTGAGAGTTTTTGCTTTTCCTTAGTAAAGTGCAGTCCAGATGCAGGTGACTAAAAGACTAAAGGAGAAGGAAAGATGAAACAAACAAACAAAAAAAAACCACCCAGAAGAGAATTGGCACACATGTCAGAGAGATGGAAGGAGCAGGGAGTGAATGTGGGTCTGGGTCTCTTATGCTAAAAAAGTAAATTAAAAGTAACTCGGTCTTCTCTCAGTCGCTGGCCTGGCACCGACGTCACTCCCTCGACTGGTAGAAGAGGATGTATCCCGACTCGGAGTTCTTGGAAATGTCCGAGGTAAGTCCGTAGAACTCCTCGATGGCCTGGGCGTCGATTTTCTGCACGACACGGGGAGAAGGCGATCAGAACAGAGAGCGCCCAGGCGGACGGACAAAGGCGAGCGGGCAGAGACGCACCTCCACTATGTCGTCATCGAACAGAAGCCAGAAGCCGTGGCTCTTCACTATGGTGATGTAGTGACCTCTGTTGGGCCCGCTAAGGTCACAGAAGAAAAAATAAATAAAAGGGAGACTGAATTTTACAGAAACTGCTGCCGAAACTCCACAAGTGGCTCTGAAAAAAATGATACATCAACTAATGTTTGAAATATAAACTTTATCAAAAATAGTAGTTTTAATTGTGTTTTTTCTCCTTGTGAAAGAAAAACAGTGATATTTAGATCCATTTTGTGTCATTAAATTAGAAATGATGTACTTTTTAAATAAATCTCAACATCAACATATTCATCCTCTGCCAATATTTAGTTTTTCTTTCATTTAAAACCTAAAACAGACAGAAGGATGTTTTAGGTTCTGTAAATTACCTGATGTAAATATTTATAAAAAATTACAAGTTGTCTGTTTGGTTTTAAAAGTCAAGTAACATTTTAGATTTTGACAATCTAAGATGCAGTCCCCTTGTCCACAATAGCTGCATTTCCATGGACAATATAAAAGCGCAAATCGGAATTCCAAAAATAAATTTGAGTAAAAGAAACATGGCAATTCAAAAAAAGTCTACTTTGGAGTTTTCAAATAAAACATTTCTGCACCAGGATGAGGTGGTTTTCCGTCTATCAAAATTACTGTATTCTGTAAAAGTGCAGTGGAAACACTTTTTTCGCATCACACCAGTCATGCGAAAAATGACTGGTGACTAAAAGACTAAAGGAGAAGGAAACAAAAAAAACACCCAGAAGAGAATTGGCACACATGTCAGAGAGATGTGGTCTTCCTTCCTGTGGAGGAAGACGACAGGAAGTGGTGGGAGGACGACGGAGCCGCTTGGTGTTCAAGGTTGTGAACAAACTTAATCACATTATTTTTATTGCGGTTCTTATTTAATGGAAACACAGCAATTACGAACTTGTGACTTTTCGACATTAGCGGAACATCGGCAAAGTTTTGCGAACATTTTTAACGTAAACGCCTCCTTCAGATGGGCGGCCTCACCTTCCGCAGTGAACCACCACTGCCACCAGGTCGTACATGCGGTCCAGGTTTACTGCGTCTCCAGATGTGTTGAAGAGGCGGAGCTCCAGAGGGAAAACCACCCGATAGGAGAGCTTGGTGTAGCGGTGCAGCTGCTCCATGTACTTGAACCTCTTCAGGTGCAGCGCCAGGATCATGGGAAGCTTCTTCACTCGCATCCTGCAGAGTAACAGGCAGGCTTAGAGAGACATCTTAGGCACTGAGCTATGCTACAGTATCCACATACAGTTTTAGAGCACACACACACACACAGAGTATTTTATTGAGATTTTATGTGATGGAATAAAAAAGATGCTTCCGGAAGTGAGAGTGCGTTGGTGTGTGGACTTCACTGACCGTTTCTGTGCTTCTTGCTTGCTGCAGCATGTTTCACAGTAGTATTTGTATTCACTGCACAAAGTCTCTGTGTTACTGAAGTCCCTGGGGGAGAGAGCATGCCACCGGAGGCTCAGTTAGTGTGAGCCTCCGGTGGCAGCTGAAGCTGCTTCTTCAGCTGTGATTCAGTGTGTGATGAACCTAACCTACCTGAGACAGTGTGTTATTGATGTGTTCTGCTCCACGTCCACGGAAAGATCCAGGAAGTCCTCATCTTTGCTGCTGACCTGCAAGACAGCCATGAATCTCCAATCCATCTTTGACTGACAGATTCAGAGAGGACAGGACCTTTTAAGACCAGTATGAATGACATTTAAAGACTTGAATTGCAGCAAAAGAATTTGACTTAGGGGCCCCTCTTGTTGCTAAAAACCTCAGCACCTCTAACATTGTCTGTGTCAGACTTGGTAAAATCTGGGAGCAGTTTAATTGGCCAAACTAAAAAGAGAATTAGTTATAATTGCAGTTTAGTTTGTATTTGTGAACAAACAGAGGTCAGTCTGAAAGACAAAACTCAGCATGGGATTGTTGCTATGGTAACAAGACAATGCAACTATGACTATTGTTCTTTGAGGCTTTACAAAGTAAACTTGCCAGCTCCTTAAAATCTTACACATAAATGTTAAACAATTTAAATCTTTCAGTTCATGCACGCTGAAAACATCCAGAAATTTTCTAACACCCTTGTCCCCAGTGGGGTCAGGAGGTCAAGCCGGCGCAAACCTCCAGCTAATGTTCCAGGTGAGCGGCGGGGTCACCCTGGACAGGTCGCCAGTCTGTCCAGGTATGCTGAAACCATTAAATCAAATTTAGCAGCATTGATCATCTCAATAATCAAATGTTACATTTATGTATCTTTGGTGTGTTAAAATAGCATTTATGGGTCCCTGAAGCTCTGGGGGCCTCATGGAGCCTCTGACTTCATTTGGATTAAACAAAAGTGCAAATAATTAATATTCATTTTGATTGTGTTTTTTGAGTTGTTGTTTTTAAGACTAGTTGTGGGTTTAAATGTCGTGTCACTGGCGATGTCTTGCAGTCACATATAATTATCCAGTAATATTTTTACTTTTCTTGTCTATTTTTAATACAAAAACACGGTGGACCACCTCGGCGCCCCGACCACAGGGCCTCGCAAGTTTTCTTTGTCTCAACAAAATTCAAGACGTAGTTAAGGACAACTTACATTGTTTTAAAGAATCTAAGACATTTTAAGACATTAATTGAAAATACATAAAATTAAGACTTTTTAAGGACGTGTGGAGACGTGTTTTATTTCCATGTTGTTCTTCTTAAGTGTGTATTTCACCGAGGAAGTGTTCCCTTAACACAGGGGAGAGTCTTGGGTGTTTACAGGCTTTGCTCAGAGCAACCTGGCCTTCTGCTCGTCCTCAGAACCGTGTAAACTATGCCTCTTGATGTCACACCTCGAATTTAGGGTGGCGCGCGCACACATACAAAACCACGCAAAACCGTGCAGCATTAAAAACAAACTAAACAGGTCTGCTCTTACATACTGTTTCACAGTTTAAGCACCGCGTCTCATTGGTCAGTGTGCCTTGGAAGATGTCGTGAACCCATGTGGGCTCCGTTTTGTTCTCCATCTCGGCCTCGGCGGTGACAGCCGTGCCGTTGTTCTTCAGGCGCCCGTTCTGCTTCTCCTGCGTCTTCTCCTCCTGCAGGATGTCCGCCACCGTGTTCAGCAGGTAGTTGAGGAATTCGTGGGCATCTTGTTGCATGTAGTTGTCGAACAGATCTGCAGGGAGACGCAGGTGGGGAGGAAACAAAGATCGCTTTCAGACAGAAACAAGCGGGTCAAAATGTGTGCAGTTTGAGCTTACAATGGAGATTATTTTTCCTCCCTTATTTTTACCTCATACTGCAAGAACAGCCTGCAAGCCCCTTATGAAGCCCACAGTCACTTGTTTAGCCCTGTCCCTGTACACTTGTTTGGTTTCAGTTTTATTCCAAAAGGGATCAGTGTGTATGTTTGCTAATGTGATATTCATCTGAATAGAAAAATAAAAGGACTATTCTAGGAATGCACTTTTAAGAAAACTTAGGGCGATATGAAAATCTGATATTAAAATTGCAGTTATGGCCGATAATTGATATCAATATTGCATATATTTCACCACCGTTGTGTCACTTTTAGGGAAAAAGATGACCAAAAACAGGTGGTAACAGAATAAAAACAAGAAAAAAGTAAATGATTAGCTCAGTTTAGAGCTAAACATTTAGCTCTAAAATTTTGTAGCTATATGTTGGCAAAGCTGGATATTTAAATGCAAAACATAATATTGTAAATATGGACAAGAGAATCAGAAGCATTAATGTGAAAGAAGGCACATAAAGACATGATGAATTAAAGAAAACCTTTTCTCTTTGCTACTTTATCATAAATCTAAACAGGACTTTTTTTCTAACAGCAGGGAAGAAAGTGTTTAACAATGTGAGTCACCAATAGATGTAATAATATTAGCGTTAGCACTTAGGACTCTACCTCTTCATAAAAAACAGTTCCTGACGTCTGTAGGCCAAGTAAACAGAGTCAGTAGACTCTGTTAATACATACAGCACCTGTACACACTCCTGTTTTCAGAGGTGAAACTGAGAAGTGGGAGAGACGAGCTGAGCAGGGAAAAAAAAAAAAAACAAGCCTCCACAGAGGAGGCAGCTGACCAGAGCTAGGCCCAGACAGAGATCACATTGTTCATTCATACATAAAGGCCTTCCTGAATATGGACAGTAGAGAACAATCAGGCTTTCTGTCAGCCCCTCTCTAAACGACCTTACCACCAACATGCAGCTGCCCTTCATCCTAAATATTCAAATTACATTAGAGCTGAAACAGCTGCAAGCACACAACACAAACCTGAGCTCTCCACATATCACGTTAAGAGAACAGGAAACCTCCCGCTCCATCCAAACCGCTCAGCGGAGGAGCGTCTATCCGATTATAAGCCTTTGTGCGTTTCAGTCAGCCCTGGCGTGCTCACCGTTCTCCTTTCGTAGCCGGGAGATGAACTTCTTGGGCGGGATGACGCCCACTTTCTTTTTCTGCGTGGCGATGGAGTGGAAAAGGTCAGCCAGACATGTGAGCAGGTTCTCCTTCTTCTTCTGCTGGGCTTTGTAGGCCAGCACGTTCTCCCGGAACGGCCGGCAGAAGTAGAGGGCCTGCAGCACCGAGTTGCAGTAGCACGTGTTTCCGAACTGAGGAGAGACGGAGGAGCCGAGTCAAAACAAGAACTACGGTATCGTCCAGGTGTACTCTTAGTCTGCAACGCGTGTATTCATATAAAGTCTAATATATTTTAATAATATTTAATGTGATGGACCAACACAAAATAGAGCAATACAATAAAAATCTAAAGAGCGCGGCATGCATTTGCATTTAGCCGTATCTGCCTTGAAAAAAATCCAGATCCACTTATTGACATCTACAGCGAGACAACTTCACAAGACGCACAAGAACTTTATGAAGGAGCGGCAGGTAAAGAAAAACAATTTTTTTTAAAGAAAGGAAGAAAATAGAGAGAAGGAGACAAAGGAAAAGAAAGAAAAAAGACTAAGAAAAGGGAAGAAAAATAAACATATAAAGGAAAGAAACAGACAAATAAAGCAAGGAACAAGAAAAAAAAGAAACTGAAAAATAGCAAGCAAGAAAGAAACAAAGACAAAGAAAACAAGCAGGAAAGAAAGCAGGGAAGAACAAAAAAATGCTCTGATCAAATGAGAAAGTGTAACTTTCTATCCTTGACATCACCTTAAAAACACCATCCCCTCACTAAACATGGTGGTGGCAGCATCATGCTGGTGGTCAGAGTTGACAGAGAGATGAAAGGAGCAGAAAGAAAACTTCTTAAGAAGTTCTCCTTCTTAAGAAGTTTTGTACCGTACAAAGGAACGGTTCCAGTCGGAGCACAATTGTGGTTACAATGGCCCAGTCAAAGTCCACAACTGAATGCGATTAAGTATTAGTGGAAATACCCTGAAATTGCTGTTCATCTGAGCTGGTGAAAGAAGAACAGGCTCTGAAGATTCTGAAGTTCACCTGACTGACTGGCAGGACATTGATACAGCGAGAAAAATAGATGTTTAATTTGAAAATCATGTTTCATTTTTCTTCTACTTTAGAATTATACACCACTTTGTGTCGGTCCATCACCGTAAATCCCAATAAAAAAACAGAAATTTTTATCTGTAACAGGACAAAAAACAATGCGAGAGTAATTATTTGCATGGTCCGGTATTTAGTGGAAAGTGTCGGGAAACGTGTTTGTTTACAGCACATTAAAGATGCAGGACATCCTGTGATTAACAAGCAGCTCTGTTACCTTGAACAGAGCCAGCTGACCGAAAGCAGACGTTTTGTTTTGAAATAAGACTCCAGTGTTGTTTGGCAGTGGGTGCTGTGAATGCATGAGAGGATTTAGTGAAACTCACGTTGACCAATCCGAAGTAGTGCTCATTGATCGGGAATTGCTCTGGGCCGATGTCTTTCTCCAGAGCGGAGGCATTGGTGCCCTGAGGGAGCAAAGACATGAGACATGCGGTCAGGATCGCCAACATGGCCGCCTGCTGGAGGCCTTGAACTTACAGCGTGCTGGTCGACTACAGTCAGGGTTTCCTTTAGGAACGTTTTAAACCGTGGCAAAGGGTTGTTAGCACTAGAGCGGGTTACACAAAGATGCTGGTTAAAAGTTATAATGAGGCAGCCTTCGAAATGTACGTACATAACAGTCACTCAAATGCAACAAATGTTGACATTAGGATTGTTTTCATAGGCTTGAATGCAGCCAATTTAACCTTCCTTCTTATCTCTACTTCGGATTGCGGTCTGTTATTTTCCTTTACTCCTGAAAGCGGTGCAGCGCACAGCAGCCAGCAACACAGCCAGACAGGAGTCGGGAGCGTTGGTCAGGCCTAATCAGTAGATCAATGAATCGCATGATAAATTAAAACAAAAACTCAATAATTTCCATTGACATGAGTCATTGTTTATCTCTTTTTTTCTCTCTAACAAAAAACTGGATGATAAAAGTGTTTTGGTCTCAGCTAGACCTTATTTTGAAGGACAATCCTGTTTACAAAAACTTCAACGTTAATTTTATATGTTGTTTAGTTTTTTGATTTTGGATATTTAAAATATTTTCCAGCATGAAATGTTCATTAGAATCTAAAGTTTACTGATCTTTTAGGATGCTTGAAATTATTATTATGCTATTACCATAATTTTACTTAAAAATGGTCTCAAATCAACAATATCATCGTTTACCGCAATAACTTCTGGAACAATTTATCGTCCAGCAAAATTTATTGCTACAGGTTTTATTGTTGGTTTTTCGGTTCGCCACAATCGGTTCCATGCAGAAGAAAGTGCAGATGCACCGATCCGATACTGATATCTGTTTCGGTCCAGATATTGAAGAAGTTTCAATATCAGAATGTATAACAATTTCAAAGAAGGTTTTTTTGGAGTTTATTTTTTATGTCTGACCAAAGTAGTCAATTTATTGCTTTTCATGTTCTTTATCATTTATTTTACATTGGCTGTTTTGCTCCTACTTGCACAGACTGAGCAGATTAAAGGTGTGTTGTATTGTTTGACCCAGCTTGTGAAGCTCGGTGTATTTAAGCATGCTATACTGGGGAAGAGCAATCAAATAAATTTCTAATTCAGTACATTTATGTCTATGTTTAAAAGTTAAGTCAATTCAGGCCTGTTTTTCTGTATCACATATCTGTGTCGGAAGTGAAAAAAGGCGGATCGGTGCGTTCCTGGAGGATAATAAAGTGCAACAACTCTAAACAGGCAGAGCCATGTCAAAAGTCACGAGGATTTAGCTCCTGGTTGCAGACACAGAGCACTTATCTCCTGTCACAGCCTTTTCTTTTGTAGGCGTTCAAAGCTTTTCCAAATGAACTGCAGCTTTGTTGAGAGAACACAGCGGACAATTTAGTTTGGGGATGCCTTTGACTTTCATTGGCCTTTATTTCGCTCTGTCAAAGCGCACTCTGAATGCCCCATTCTCTGTTTAACCGCCTCCAGAACACAAACGCAGGTCCATCATAACAGGAAGGTCTGCTAATGCGTACTTTAACTGTGCCTAAAAACCCGGCTAGTATATACAGAACATTTATGAGAGACGGAGAAAGGACTGATGCAGGCTCTGTTGTGGGGAATTGAACTCCTATTGGCACTTTAGACCAGAACGATGACTGCTTTCAGTTTTACAACTCGTCCCAATGAGCACAAAAATGATCTAAAAAGAAAAACACTAAAGTTTCATATTCTCTAACCATGTAAAGACATGCAAGCACTGCTGTTCTGCCCAAAATCAGAAAGGGCCACTCTTGACCCCAATTATCTTGCAGAACATGAACACGGTGTTTCTGACAACCAGTCACAGCAGACAGTAAACCAAAGACATGAAAGTTTTACAAGTTTAGTTTTGGTCAAAGTGTACAATTTAGGACAATTACATATTATTATTGGAAAACTTTGCCTATTTATTTTGGGACAGGTCCCTTTTCAGTTCCATCTACTCACAGAAAATATGACATACTTTGATCCCTGTTCAAACCAAAACATCAGGGTGACCTCCTGTTGATTTAATGGAGTCAAATAACCAACCGTATTTCCTTACAGAAGACCGTGAGGAGAATATATGAAAAAAAAAAAAAAACTTTTTAAAGCAGGTATGAAAGAATCACATTTTAAAAGGTAGGACCTGATGAAAATCTTAAGCATTCTGAGAAAGCTGGTGCAAATTTGGACCCCAAAAAACATCTGAAAAACTGCAAAATGTATAAAATGACCAACATCTATTAAGATTTATTGATCAACATAAAGAACAAGCTTATTCCCATTAATCCTGCCAATCAAACGCTCCATCAAACTAAATATCTTTTTGAAAAATTTGCCCATATATCTCTGAACCACATATTTGTAAGCAGCAGACAGTAGATGGCCTGCCCTGGGGGTCATTCACTTAAAAAAAAAAAGAAAATAGATTATATTTGCTGCAGGGCAGAACAAGGAGAGAATTTCTCAATTGTTTTCCTCAAATTCAGATGCTTACATAAAATGCCATTATACCTCCGGATGCTTTGTCTTTGCTTATCCTAAGATAATTTAAAACAGCTCAACAAAGACACACCGACAGATTCATTTAAAGCAACATGCAACACACTCCTACCTTGTGTGACATCAAGAGAAAAAAAAGAAGAAAAGAAAGTGAAGAGACATTCTTAAACTCAAGTGGTTTTCTCTCATTATTGTGGCGTTTGTGAAGCAGGCATAATTTGGTGATCCTCGCTGCACTGAATGCAGCACATAAGTTTACCGTCGTCTTCACAGTGTGCATAAACATTTGTTTTCAGTTTTTTCATACCAACTGTGTGGACACCTTCCCCCTTCCCCCATCAGCTGGTGTCCTGCATGTTTCGGATGCATTTGCTCCAAAACAAATGAATCAAATGGCTGAATGCATCTTACACCTCCAGTTTTGGAAATGCAGTGACACACATCTGCGTTCAGGTCAAAGGTTGTTTCACGGCTTTTTGACGTGTCAAATGTTTTCCGTATTAATTCTTTAAACCACATTTACAGATAGTTATTTATTTGTCTTCTGTGTAAGCTTGGCTCTAATTAAAAAATAAAAAAAAAAGAGAAGAAGTTGTAAAGGACATTTCTACTGCAATCTCCAAGCCTCCACCGATGGATCAGGCAAACCTGCACTGGATTATCCTACACAACAAGCACAATGCTCAAAGTCGTGCAGGGATGAAGTATAAGTGAACCGAAGCAGCGCGCAGAGAAGACTAATACTGGCGGGTTTTGACATCAGTGACCCGTCTAAATAAAGCAGGGGCCAGTGGCATTAACGCGGGCATTAAGTCTGTTCTTCCCCACTCTTCTCCAGCCATGAGCGCAACATTAAACACAGATTAGTGCAGACTCCTGCTCTCTGCTGCGGCTCCACATTATGCAACCAGGACCGACAAGCTGTCAGGGGCTCAGGAGCCGCTTCGTTCTCCTGTCAGCCGCAGCTGACAGACGCACAAATGACCCACTCTGCGGGAGCAACAAGAGGTGTTTCAAGGTGCAGCCTCCTGAGAGGAGTCCCGGTCCGGGCGCAGGTGGGAGGCAACCCAGCCACAGACATCCAAAGCGTCCAGCCCGGTTCAAGACTGCCGCTGCAAACCAATCAATGACATTCAATGGAGGTTTACTCACCATATTACAGATGGAGGCGATGTTTCTGACAGTCATTTAGTTCACAGTGTCCCCCGCACCGCCATTTTTATAAATTAAACCGAGCTGGGCGACGCTGAGGAATGAAGTTCAATTCGCAGCCGCGGCTGGAGGCCAAACCGCAACCCCGGACGTTTGGAGAGCACCATGCAGCCGGGGAGACACCGAGCCGAGGGGCCGCGCCGCGCTCACCGTCCACACGGCTTCGTCCTCGCACACATGTTGAAGGAAGCTCGGCTTAAAAACTGACAGCGTCCGGAGGAGAGGAGAAGTTACAGGCGGGCGGCAGGTTGCTAGCAGCGACCAGAAAACTATCCCGCTGCGCGAGGAAGTGATGTGGTCCCGCCCACTAGAGCAAAGCCCGGCTGCTGATTGGTCCAGAGTTACAAGTTTGATTCACAAAACAGCCTGACCAAACACAGAGCTGCACGGGGAAGTTTCACTGAGTCGCAACCAATCGCCATCAACTAACTGAAAATATTGATCTAGGGACATGTAGTTTATTTGAGGAAAGCGAACTGCACAGTTCACAGAAAGAAACAACAACAATAATAATAATAATTATTATTATAATAAATAATAATGAACAACAATGATTAAATATCTAATATAGTCAAAGCATTTCATTTCTCATTTTTAATTAATCGAGCAGAAAAATTTTAAAATCTAATCTAATACGGGAGGCTTCTTCAAAAACCTCGTACAAAAGTGAATTTCCTCTAGTTTATCCTCTTGTTTTGTCCTTTTATACAAAACAAGATTGGTTTTAAATATAAGCCAATTAAATGTAAATTTATGTTAAAATATTACATCAAGTGATTGGTATAGAAATTGTATTGTATATCAATCACTTGATATTCAATCTTAATTTTATAGTATTTATTTTTAGAATTGTTTTAATTTGAGAAATAACAAAAATAATGGCATGTAATACTAGTATTAAATTATTTCTATCAACTGCAATGTTAAATATTTTTTTTATTATTCTAACTTTCATAATTTTTGTTTACCATTATATTTTTTATTCAGCTACCTTTAGCTAAATAGAATATAATTTATACACATTATTTTGTTTTTGAAGGTGCTCCTCATGCAAAAGGTGACTTAAGTTGATATTTATCTACATGTTTGGTATCTATTCACACATTTCTGTGACGATGTAGCACATAAAACATTTGTTTAGCGGCCTGGGAATATGGAATAAACAAAATGGTTAAATATCCTAATCAATAAGGTTATCACAGATCATTTATAACATTTACTTTCATTGTTGACACAATTACAACTTTTTTAAACTTCCATTTAGCTCATTTTATTTGAATTTCATTAGTTTTCGAATTTTAACCAAGACTAAAAAAGCGTTTTGGAATAAAAAGAAAATTTCTACATTACGATAAAAGCTTTTCCCACACTTTTTTTTTTCCATCTATGGTCTCCTTTCCTGCCTCGAGATGTACCTTGTTCTCTTCAACGTGCTCGTCTCTGGGGATCCTTCTTCAAATGACAGCAGGCAGGCCTAATCACTAACCACTGAATTTGGAGGTATTCTGACCTCTGACCACCAATTAGGAAGAGGAAGGACATTAATGTCCTTTCTGCAAGGCCCTGCAGGAGCCCTGGGCCCTCAGGACGCACTCCTTCACAAGCAGCTCTGCTTGAGCTTTCATCACATTCCTTTTGGCAATTATCCCTTTAGCATTTAAATGACAACCAACAAAAGATAGGAGAACAACAAATAATTACAACAGACAAGCTTCAAAGCAACGGGGAAGGAGAGAGGAATAAAACAAGTAAGAGGATAATAGAGTTGTCAGTCTGAGCTACAGAGGATGAGATCAGCTCATTGTTGCTCTGATAACCAGGCTGTTATTGAGAAAGTTGCTTATTGATGTGCTAAGTCATGTTTATTTATGAATGGGCAGGGAAACGATGACATGTGAGGGATCCAGTCAGAGATCGCTCACATAACTTACTTTCTATTTCAGTTCGCTCTGCATTACTAGGACTGCATCCACAGTTCATGACTCATCACTTGTGTTCCTCCGTTTGGTTTCAATGTTGGCATCTAAACAATCAGTTAAACAGGCGAAATAAACTTCTGTACGTCTAACAGTCTTTTTAGGCAATGCTCTTTCAACTTTTTACCTTTTGCCATGGTCCCATTCTTATGTGAACATTTTTATTTATTTATTTATCTATCAGAATTGTACTTGATGGAAATCACCTTTTGGACATCAGTGCGTCCGCTTTGCCTGCCCAGTCACGGTGCCAAAGCGGAACTGCACATGGACGTACGTGAGATAAATGGAAAAAAAAAAGAGAAAAAGAAACATCTTAAACTCAGAATATGCTTCCAGTAAATGAGGCTGGCTGCATTACCAAAAAGCACTTGTGACCTTCCTGTGGTTCTGCTTCAACAAATAGAGGCAAATGAATTATGCATCATTTCCGTGCCGCCAGGAAAATAATCCTTTAGATTTGGCTGGGTGATAGAAAGCACCCTTGTTACATCTGGCACAATCACAGAGGTTAAGAGCTGTTTACAACCACGGCTTGAACTCGCTCTGTACAGAGAGGGAGTTTCATGATGGCTGCAAACAGATGAGCCACAACAAACGTCTGTCAGCGCACTATCAACGGCTTTTGAGTCCACGATGATCACTTTGTTTGTTACAGTTCTTTGTAAAGGTTTCCATAACACTGACATCACGGCCAAAAAAATCTACATCTTATTTGGATTTTATGTGATAGACGGAGTAGAAAGTAAAAATACGGCCTGGCTTTTCATTCAGTCCATTATACTTTGAGTGCCACCAACAGAAATACCTACAAACCCACCAAGACATGGCCTAAGATGACAGACGAAAAGAGAGCGCAATAATCAGAGAAACAAACAAAGAGCATCATTGTTGCTCTGGGCAAGAAGCACAGACCCACAGCTCAGGTGGGGGAATCTGTCAACAAGACGGCTTTATGGAAGAGTGTGAGGAATCTGACAGATTAGGTAATAGTCCATTCTTGGAGGAGACATACCACCAAGTGAGTGCAGTGTCGGGTGTTTCTAGGGGCGACTGTGGTTCAGTGGGTAGAGCTGTCGTTTGTTGGTTAGATTCCAGCGGCCTTCTGTCACGTGCTGATGTGCCCCTGGGCAAGACTTCACCCCAAGTTGCCAACCGGGCTGTGTGTTGGTGTACAAATGTCTGTGCCTGCATGGTTGCGACTCGGCGAACGCGGCTAGTGTGACTCGACGCTTTGAGTGGTCAGAATGCCTGGAAAAGTCAGTCAATGAGGTGTGAATACAAATGCTCACCACACTTTTCAGATAGAAAATTCTTTGTCTCTGTTTTTTAGTGTTTAGTTTATTATTTTAGGCTATTCACATCATATTTAAAAATAAAAAAATCACAATTCCAAAAGGAAGAAGAAAAAGAAAAAATAAACACAACAATGAAAAACATTTAATCATTTTCCAAGGTATGTAGCAAAACAAACAAACAACAAAATTAAAAAAAACTTAAAATTAATACCTTACAAAAACCTTATCTTTGATTTTAAATTTTAAATATTTGTTTTCTTTGATTTTCCCTTATTTACTTCCGGAGGCATTTCTCTTTCAAATTCATCCAAGTGTTGGAAAGATCCCAGCGCCAGTCTTACCGTCTTCTCTGCCTCGGCTATCCGTTTTAAAATCAGGAACTCGAACAAAAACGACATTATTCATTCGAGGAATCGTTGCTTCACTCATCCAACACGTCTGCCCCGTGCGTGGATAGATCATCTGTAGTGCACCTTTAGCTCTGAATCAACTGCAATATCTCAGGCAGACAGGAAGAAAAACAATAAGAGGCAGCCATAGGAAGAGAGAAACCCTTAAGACACAAAGGTGAGTTTATTAGTGGTTGAGCACATGAGCTTCGGAGCGATATTAGGTTCTGGTACATTCTGTTCCCAGCAGTTTCTGGTTTGCATGTACAGTGCCCCGCTGCCTCTATAAACAGAGGAGCGGGCCAGGATGGGTGCAGAAAGTCAGCAGCTTTACTGCAGAGTTAGCATGCTGGCATGCAGACTGTTTTCTGTGTCAACAAGACCTAAACACGAAGACATAATAAAAAAAGACGCAATGCAACGCTATAAAATATACAACCAGGCAGGACAAAAAACAAAAACAAAAGAAAAAAAACCCAAAATGAAACCTAAGTGGATTTTTTATGTGTAGCTTCATAAGCCAAAATAAAGCTACACTTTAATAAGGAATCATAAAAGGGAGAGATGAGAGGATCATTTTTAAAAGATGTCTGTCACACTTCTTGTTTTACAAATGATGATATATAGATATATTTTTTCTTTTTAATCTTAAATCTGCCTTTTCCCAGTAAATAGAAATAATATGCTTCACAGATTTACTTTTAAAAACTGTGTATCCTTTGCTTTTGCACCTTGAGACATCATTGTAATGAGCACATAGGGACATTGCATGTCTTTAAAGCGACCAGTTTGGGGCCAGTTTCCCTTCGGGGACGTGGCTCAGGCTCCTTCTCGTCTCTCTGTTGCCTGTTGAAAGAAGTGAGCAGCGTTGGCCTCGGCACACGGTCAGACCGCAGCGTCAGATAAGGTCAGCAGCCCTGCCTCCCTGACTGTGACGTAAACCACTTCACCACAGCGTTGTGCGCCACATAAAAGCGCTTCTAGCTTCCTTTTTTTTCTCTCTTTCTTCAGGTCAACATCATTCGGATCTGCATGTCTGCAATCTTTTTATTTTAGTTCCAATTTCTTTGTGCATCTATTCATTAACTGCTAAAATCTTGAGAAAACCAGTCCAAACATTATTGACCCGTTATTGATTCAACTTTCATGTTTACGCTAGTATAAAAATGCTTCATTAACACATTGAAGCGTTGAAAAACAACCAAAATAATAAGGTGTCTACGTATATTTTATTCATGTGCACAATAAACATGGAGCCTCTCCTGCTGCCGTCTGCAAGTCCACCTTTCTGCCTCACAGCCACCTGATTCCGGCAAAGCGGCGACGTCAATAGCAGCATTGTTCTCACCGAGCAGAAGGCCGGCCAACACAGAACACCCTTCAAACCGGCTGCTTCTCTAGTTACATGCATTTCTGTGACTGTATATGAACATGGCAATTACTCGGTGCAATCTGATCAATGCGTGGCACCCAGCTGAACAAAGTCGAGCGAGATGAAAATGAAATCTGGGACAATTCTGGGTGTGAAACAGTAAAAAGACAAGTCAAGATGATAAAAGTTAGGAAGACATGTGGAATGTTCCGGGTACATGAGGTTTCAGTCAATACATCCCGGCAGATAATCAG